TCCTACCTTTGGAGGAACAAGTTTGACCCACAACCACCCACCCCCCATGGAAGTTGGGGAGTCAGCAGGGATCCGAGATGGACGAGGACAAAGCACAAGTGGATGTCATTTGCTCTTTATTATTCTTCATTATCTTCTTGTACATAAAGAGACAAAATTTAACAGCTAAACTCAACAGTTGTAAAAAGAGAGAGAGAGAAATCAGAAGCAAGTGCGTTCGTTGCCCCCAGGCTCCAGTGGAATCCTGGCGTAGCACTGGATGTACAGATTTCCCAGCTGACGTGGGTCGACACATGAAGACGAGCACAGTTCAAAGTGGTGCCAAAATGAATCCGGTTCACAACAATCATTGCTAGAAGCTCAGTTGCACATATCAGGGTTTCCACTGTCACAAATTCACAATTACAGAGTGAAACAGCAGGTGTGTTCGGGCCTGGGAAAGCGGCGTCTGTAAGGGGAGACGATTGGGAGGCAAAAGCAGCTGGCTGGTTTGTCCCAGTCCTGAATGTCTGCCCGAATGCCCGGCTGGGGGCGGGAGAAGGGCAGGCACCGTTCAGCAGTCAGATCTCAGGACAGTGAAAGGACTGTGGTGGCTTTGAGCTCGAGGGGGTGTGCTGTTTGAATATCTTTGTCAGAGAAATTCTTGCTAGAGAGAGACTAGCCACCCACAGCCTGTGAAAGGAAAAGCTCCCTATGTTTGAACATTTGGGAGCAAATGGTGGGAGTGGCCAGTCTGATAGCAAAACATCTGCTTTACAGGATATTTACAAAGATACATACAGGTATTAGTTTAAGTTGTAGTCTAGTTCACAAACTTTGTTATTCGTTGGATAAATAAAGGAGTAGAATGAAAGGCTGCAATACGCGACATCCTGGATGTGGAGAGAGAGATGGAGGAATATGGAGAGAGAACAAAAGACCCCCCGCACAGAAGGAGCCTGACACACGAGAATTGCTGAACCCCAAAGCTGAAGGCACGGTGAAGGGATCCTTAATATCTTGGCCCTTTTCTTTGAAAAGGGTACTCATTTTAAACTGGATTCCTCTTACACAGAAGCCCCTGAAAATTGGCTAAAGGGAAGAATATTTAAAATATTTTTATGTAGCAAGAATTGCAGCTACTGTGCATTATCTTAAGTTGTGGTTTTCTCTAAGTTCTCAATTAGTGGCCTTCAAATGAATGGGCTTTTACTGTAGATGCAGGCAGTCTAATTACAGTACTTTTAAATTAGCTAATTATACTGATTAGTATTAGTAGAGTTCAGTGGGAAGGATGTGCTTGTTTTTCAATCGGCAAAGTCCTAAAATGGAGCTTCATTACTTCTCAAGCTGAAAAGCAGCCTGGACCAGCAGCTTTGAAAATGAGTGTACACACACGAGACACAGGACACACACACACACACACACACACACACTCGATGAGTAAGAGAGCCTCTCTCCACAATCTCTCTATCTCTTGGACAAAAGAACAATCTAGAGGCAGTGTCAATGTTATCTGCCTCACATGAGATGCCATTTGGTTGTCTGAGGATGAACTCTGGCTGAGGGTTGGGAGTCTCCAATCACTGGGACAGGAGAAGCATCTGTCTCCAACCACTTAACAAAAAGACGTTTTCCTGTCCCAAATTCCTCATATTCGGGCTACCAAAAAGACAATGTCCAACCGATAGGGCAGATTCCTGTTTTCCGAAGCACCCTAAGGAATTCACACTAGTGGCAGTGGAGTTGGCATCGCAGGCCCCTCGGCCAGGGCACAACACAGCTGTGCAGGGAAGGCGGGGTGTGCATGCCAGCAGCTGTGCGCCCCACTCTGGCTATTGTGCTTTTGTCTGAAGACCCGAGGCGACGGGAAGCAGGGAGAGGCAAGATTGTGATTTTTGTTTTAAAAAGTCTTAAAAAGTTTTTGGTTGAAAACAAGTGACAGTCATATTTAAAGGAATTCTTTAAAGCCTTTTCTCTTTTTTTAAAATGCAAAATATCTAAATAATTAGCCCCGCCATTCCCAAAGTCTACAGTCACACATCTTTAAAAAAAAAAAAAAAAAATGCCCAGGAGGGCTCAGATTTCCTTCAGCTGCTGACACCACAAAACAGCCGAGGCGGGGGCACTGTGCCAAAAGGGCGTGCGAGTGGGGCCCACAGGGCGGAGGCTCACACGATGGAGCTGCTTCGTCTTCGTCCAAAGTCTTTTGTGAGGGGGCAGAAGGTGGCCACATTGGGGGGGCTCCCACAGCTAATCTTGGCTTCCCTCACTTGGGGCCCTGTCATCAGGCTGCCAGCCCCGGGAGGTGACATTCCTCCCTTCAGACCGGATCCCTCCTGGTACAAATATAGCTGAACACTGGCTATTGTTTCAGATAAGCAATGAGAAAAGGCAATGTGCACACGTGCGTACACACACACACATGTCCAAAAACAATAGAGTGGCTACCAAAGAGTTAGCATTGTATCAAATCAACGTCCATACAAAGACAGAGTTTGAAAAGATATGTACAGGGCATTCATAAAAGCCAAATGTGCACCACGAGGAGTTATGCCCATTGTCTGCTGCGAACACCGTCCCAGAGACCATGGATGGCACAACCCCACCTGGAAGAACACTACGAAGCACCTGAACCAGAGACCACAGGCCTTAAGCGACTGCCTCTGGCTTTTCCCGCCACCTGTCCCCAGCCCTTGAGGACACATGCTGCCCTCCAGGGGACACTCCCCAGGATTCTGCTTCTTGCTGTCTCCCATCACTACCCAGTCTCGAGCTATGGGGCACCTGGGCAGGGAAGGGCTCAACAGATTCCAGCAACACAGGTCATGTCTTGGCACCCTCCCTTTGGTTCTGGTCAGTGGGGCCCATGCCTGGCTCTCTGCTAACTGGGGAAGAGACACACCGGGGGAAGTAGCTTTTCACGTGCTCCCACATCACACTTGGGCACCTGCTTGAGAAAATACTGGGATAGCCGGGGCTGGCCCCAGAGCTTCAGGTTCCCCCAGGTCCTCCAACATGGCTGACTGGGGTTAGGCCCAGCCTCCATCATGGAAAAAGCAGGGGCCTTTTGGGCCCCAAATCCCTTTGTAAGGAAGGCCAGGAGTGCAATGCTAGAGGCCCAGGGGACGAAGGGAGGAAGGGAAGAAGGGAAGGCGGAATGCCACTTGGTCAGCATCTCTGGTATCAGGAAGTGCTGGGGGGCAGGGGCGGGGACAGGCAGAGTCAACTGGCAGGAAATTCTCCCCAGGTGGAGACTCAGCTAAGACTGGTTCCTTATAACCCACACATTTCTGGAAAAATCTCCCTAAGGGCAAAGCTCACTGGCTCCCTGGTGCTTCAAGCACTTCACAGCCTCCGTTAGCTCAGTCTGCCTCCAATGGGTGTGTGAGGTGGGGGAAAGGGTGAGAAGCCACAGCCACAAGGTCAAGCTGTCCAAGCCCTGGCCTCACTGGGGTAAGAACATAGGTCTCCTGACTTCAACCACCTTCTGGGACAAGTCCCAGGACTGGAGGGGCCTCTAGAAGTCATCTGTAGCCTCCAGGCAGGGTTGCATTCAAAGAATGAGTCTCAATGTCTGCCTTGGAGAGTTGTTTAGACAGAAAGAAGCTTGTCAACTCCATGGGTTTTAAATTACTGTGGTTGCCAATAGATCCGGGCTGTGCACTCTTTTGGGCCCCACAAAAATTTGCTACATTTTTTAAAGCACCACAGAGGAAAAATGGTTTGGTGCCAAGACCAGGAGGATGGAGATGGAGATGGGGGTGGGGGGAGGTGGTGTCAACAGCATCTTCCGCGTGGTCACTGACAGTTAAAGGGCAGGTCACCTCTGCCCCACTGCTGTCCGAAGCCTCACTAAAAACGGACCAGCACCTGGCAATGGCAGAGCAAGCCCCGGAAGGGCCTTTGACCACAGGTCATGGGCTCACCCACAAGGAAATTTTTTAAAAGGGACACTTTAGGATCTTCTCCCCAGGTGGGCACCATCATTAAAGAGAAATCACCGATCCAAAGTTCAAGTTCAATGCACCTATTCACAAAAAAGGAAGTATCCTAAAAGTTCAAAACCAGATAGCACAGTGCCTTGGAGGCCAAGCTCATGGGTTTAATTTCCCTATGGATCGATCGACCTCACAAAGAGAAAACTTCAGCTCTCTGCCCCAGCATGTACCCCAACCATCTGGAGGTCATGTGCTCCTTGGGCAGGGTCAGGAGCATCAGTTTTCCCCACGAGTGAGTGCTCCAGGGCTGTGAGTGGGCTCGTGCCAGTGGGTAGTGGTTTTAGCACAGCTGGTACACATGTCTGGAGAACCAAGGTCTGGGGGAAGCCAAGCACACTAGAGACAGGATGGCAAAGTTCATGCAGGTCCCTTGGTCAATCTGGAGGAGGTAACTCTGCCCCCAGCCCCCTGCCCCTCATCCTGTACACAGCCTGTCCTCCTGCCAGGTTGCTCTCGACATTCTTTTCAACCTGGGCAGGACTGCGGGGCTGTGTGCTGGAGGAGCGGCGTGCCACAGGTCCTTACGATTGATTTCCCTTGGCCTCCTAGAAATGGCCCAGATTCTGTTGTTTCATTCTAGCGTGCTCATTATTCATTTATTTGTTATTACTTCTTTGTTTTGTTTGTTGCTTCACACTCGCCCCTGTCCTCACAGTGTAAGGCAGGACAGAAAGCACAGAGCTGTTGAGGAAAAGGACTTGCTTCTCTCCCTGACCTCGTGGCCTGGGGCTCCAGACACAGACAGGTCTCCAGTCAGCCCCGCGGCCCCAGGCTCCAAGCCTGTGGTCCTTCTGGCCACAATCAACTCAACTGGATGATTCCTTTGGCATAAGAGAAGCCAGTCCCTGACAGGGGGGACAGGATGGTGGGGGCTCAAGGGGGCTCGGGAAGAGCTGGGATCTCTGGTCTGGAGCTCTTCCCAGGGGGGTTGGACTCATGCAGGCTCCTTACCCCCACCCTCCCCACCTGTCTCTGATGACTGACTCCCTAAAAATCCACGGTTAGGGAATTATTTGGCAACAAGGAGGCTAAGGCTGTTTTGTGGTGGCACAGTCTTTAAAAAGTTAAACAGAAAATAGGAGGCCTCTGAAAGAGGCGTTCACACGGGACAGGACACGCCTCCCACTACTTGTTGGAGTCGGGGTTGGCGGCCACTATCTCCTCATACTTTGGGGGTGGGTCACTGTAAGAGACACTCGCCTCCTCACTGCTACTCTCCTGGGGCGCAGTCACCTCCTCATAAGAGGGGGGAGGGGTGGCACTGGACAGTCTGGAAAGAGAGAGCTCGGGGAGGTAGAGGGTACTCTCAAGTCGCACCGTGGTTCTGCCCCCCCGACTGGGCCCCAGCACCACTTGGGGGGTAACCCCTGCCTCACGGTGCCCAGAGGACTCTCCCTGGCTATGCATGGTGCCCCGGTACACCATGACCCGGGGGAGGCTGTGCCCGGTGCGACTGGCTAGGTACCGGTTCTGAGCGTAGGAGGGGTGATGACGGGTTGCTTTCTGCAGCTGGCACCTCCAGATGATGAACAAGGCGATGACAATCAGCAATGCCACCCCCAGAAGGGGCACCACCACATACATAGCGTCGGAGCTCTGCGAGGGGTCTCGGACTGAGTACACTGCATTTGGGTACCCCTTCCAGAACTCCATCTGCAAGAGAAAAAGGGTCGCTTACACCTGGGGAAGATGGATACCAGGGGAGGCTCACCATACCCTCCTGCTCCGGTTGGGCCTCAGAGGCCCCAGAGACCCACAGCAGATCTAGTATCATGTTGGGTGAGGCTGGTGGCTGCTTCCCAACCTTCCCCACCTGAATGGTCTTGGAGAGCTATCAGAGAGGCTGTGGAAAGCACCAAGGACAAAGGACAATGCTCCCAAGTGAGGAGGCCCCCAAGAGTCAGGCAAGGGACAGTAAGTACATTTTGTTTGTTCCCGTATGGCTGCAGGGGCCATGCTCTAGGCTGGGGGTGGGGAGTGGGGGCTTCCCTTCCCTGCTTCTCATTTGTCTGCAATACCAGGGCCCATTCTTGGTATTCCTGAGGCTGCTTCTACTGCGGGCCAGCATCCCATCCCTGGGGTACGTGCCGTTTTCTCTTTGTTCTCGAACACCTCCTTGACCTCCTCGTAGCTGCAGATCTCTTCCATGCACTCGCGCTCGATGGTGCCCTGGCGCAGCTCCTCCAGGAACTCATTGGCACGAGGGAACCGTTTCAGGACCGAGTGGGCATTCTTGGCCTCCAGAAACACTGAAGAGAGAGGCGTCCTGAGGCCTGGAATGGGGAGGTGCCCAAGGGCTCCTTCAAGCCAGGCTGGGCCCAGGGACTGAAGCACAATTGTGGAGAGAAAGCCGGCAAAGCGAGCAGGCAGGACGCCAGGCATGCAAGCCGAGGACATGGCTGGCTCTTTGTGAAAGGGACAGAAGGGTTGACTGGCTCTGACACCATGAAACTCCTGTCTAGAATACCATGGCTCCAACAGAGCTCAAGCCCCTGGCAGTATGGGGAGAAATGGGAACCAGCTAAGAGGGAGGGCCTGTGCATAGCAACAAGAAAGAATAAGAATTTTTGAGTATTGCAGTCATCAGTGAAAAAACGCCCAGTGTCTTCTACATCCATTTGCAAAGAGAAAGGCAGAGCCCTTGTCATGAGAATTTATCCATCTTTGAAGGTGATGCTGGTAGGATTAAAACCAGATAATCCCATAAGTATCCACCATGAGCCACGCACCCCCACAAGTCTGAGCTGAGATTTTGGAGGAAGAAAGAAGAGGTGGCATTTGCTCCTGGTGGGACTTCCTAGTTCTCATGTTAAGCAAAGCCCCTTGGTCCCCAGGCTGCTGGGGCTTGGCTGGCAAACAGACACCCTTCCCAAGGCCCCTTGACCTGTCACATTAGTGCTCTCACAGAGGCCTGGGTAGGTGCACATCCACAGGTGGAATGCAGCCGAAGGTTTGAGAGGGGAAAGCTGCTACTCGGCCACCCTGGGGAGAGGAAAGCTAGGAAGGACTTGAAAGAGGGACATCTCCGCCACTCTGCCTGGGCTTGGAAGAACTCACCTGCCATGGTGCCTCCTCAGCTCCAGCGTCTCACTTGCCTGCAAAAGAATAAAAGTGACATTGCAGTGAAACCACATCCAGAAATCTACAGGACACCCTCTTGGCCCTGGGCTGTGATGCTACCCTGCACTGGCCACTCATAGCTTCTACTGCTTCTTATTCTTTCCCCAAGCTCTTCTCTGGAGCTCTCCCAGGTCCAGCAGAGCCGAAGGGAAACCTTCCAGCTATTTCCCCAAGAACACATACTGAGCCAGTGAGCTCTAGAAGGCCTAAAGTTTGAATTTTTCGTTAAAAACAGAAAACTCCTACAGGCTGAGTCTCCTCTTTCTTCAATGAATCTTTGCACCTTCAAATTGAGAAGAACCTCAGAGATGCAGATGCAGAAAAGAAGCCTGGAGAGATGGGGACTTAGGTAAGGTTAAGCAAACCGACAAAGAAAGAGGCATGGCCTGAATAATTCTGACCACAATGGTGAGTACCAGGTACCTCTAATGACAAGCATGTTCCCTGATAATAAAGCTTAACACGGCAACAAGAACTATCTCAAAAGTCACGGCCTGGCTGGGACTGGCCCACACTAAACTTCGGTGGGCATGTGGTCTGCAGGGTCAGAGCCTCCATACTCAACCCTGCTGCGTTCTTATGCTCCCTGACCAAATCCATCAGGCCCAAACCCAGATGGCTTCCTGTGCTCATCTTCACCAGATGAGGAGGCCTGGAATCTTCTGGAACCAAGCATGTCTCCTCTCTTTGCAATAAGACCACTGCAGCGAAGTACCAAGACACAGATTTAAATGATCAAAACCAAGACACTAACTAGAAGAGTTGCCTCTCATGGGAGCTATTGTCCCAAAGTCTTTCTCCTGCTAAGGAGCTCCCCAGCCAGTACGAAAGCCATGGGCACAGCACACTGTGCCTCCTGGCCCTCCCCACAACACACGCTCCCACTCATACACATATTCCAGACAGCTGGCCAAGCTGTCCACATCTGGGGGCAATCACGTTGCTACTCCCCTCCCCAAGCAGAAGCTCCGGGTTTATGACTAACTGCATGCAAGACACGTGAACTGTGTAACCCACTGTGCTACCCTTCTTTGCCTAGGCTGCCAGGAAGTTCAGCGTTAACACCGACAGTCAGGCACAGGCACCCTGGAAGCCTGACCGCTTTGCACATACGCTTCTCTCTTTTGACGTGGTGTCTGGTTTTCTATTTATGTGTTCCGAGTCTTACTGTGTACTTATATGTCTCCTAATCCTTTTGGCAAACAGGTAGAATACAAATCACACACAAAATTTAAAGCTGAAGGAAAACCAGCAAATCTCACATCCGTCACCATGTCAAGGGGCTTTCTCTTTTGAACCCCAGAACAATCCTACCCCAAACTATCAACATGTGAATTTGTCAAGAGACAGGCCAGCCACTGTGAGAAAATTGGCCCTCAATGTTCATAAGAGCAAAGATGGAATATTATCTCTAAATTCTGCTTCCATTATGGACCTCCAAGGTTCTTGTGATGAGGGTGTGGTTATAGTACGCCTAACAGCAAGGTTTTTTGATTGAAGAAAAATGGAGCTGTTGTGTCAGGATTTGAGAAGAATTCGTAAAGGGAAGACAGAAAAATGTGTTCCATTGCTTATCGAAAAGAACTGCAGCGTTTTACGTGAAAAATTATATAACAGCTTACATATAGTCACCTTTGGTCCCCAACACGCCTGACTTTGTTGCATGAACACCCACACATATCATAGATCTGAATGTGTGTTCTCCTGACACCTGCAAAAGTCATTAGTTCATTTTTAAGCTTCAGAGGAGCCACAGACTCCCCAAAACAGCTCACATAGCATCGCCCACTCTATTAGCAATTCCGTAGCCACCATCACGACTGCTGCTGCTGCTGCATAAGGCCTCCTCCCCCTCCCTCCCCAAAATATAGCGCCTGCTTCTTCCCCTATAAATACACCATCAATAGGCAGTTACTATGGCAACAGTGAGGCAGCAAGCGTGAGGGCTCCACGACAGAGAATGCTGCTGCAGTCACGCATGTATATGTCCCTCCTGCCCCTGGTGGATACTGTAAAGCTGATTGTAGGCTGAAGGAAGTTTTAACCCACTCCCCACAGGAACACAGCTGAATCCTGACAGCCTGGAAAGGAAAGGAGGCAGGGAACTGGCCACCACAAAGACCTTCCTTAACCCCACCCCAGGCTAAAGCTTCTGAATCACAGCACTTTGGGACACTGCCCCAAAAGAACCTCGCATGGGACTGGCGGCCACCAAAGCACCTGGTGTCCCATGACATGGCCTCCAAGCCACTTCTCCAAATCCTAGCCCTTTGTATTTCCATCACTCAGAACTGATCGCCAGGAAAGGGTTCTGTGATCTCCAAATCTTATGACTCATCGACCCATCCAGTGACACAGCCACTCCCAAATTACGCTCAGTCGAACTCTGGGGGCCCCCTTGTCCCCTTCCACTCATGCCAGCCCTGAAAGTGCTTGTCCTTGCCCACCTTCGCCCGATACCTGGCCACGAACTCCTGCTTCTGGCCCAACAACACTCTTCTCGCGGGTCTGCTCAAGACCCCCAATACCTTGGCCCGGCCAGCTGGGCCTCCAGATTCCCCCTCCCCAACAGAGCCCCACACCCAGCTCGGTGGCCCTGGACACCGAACAGTGCCCTCGGGTGTGGGGCACCCAATCCAAACGGCCTCACCGTTCTCCGGGCCCAGGAGGAGGCCGCCCTGTTTGCGCACGCAGCCCGCCACCTCGCTCTGCGCCTCTGCCAGCAGGGCCCCTGTCCCCGCCCACCTGCTCCCTGTCGGCCAAGC